GTGCAGGGGGTTGTCTTGGCTTGGTGGTCTGCGACGCCAGAGGATGAGGAAGGGAGCAGGAAAGAAGCGGGTCAGCCCCTGAGGTGCACAGTAAGGGACTTCTCAGGGACCCCTGAGGGACCTCCCAGAGCTCTATGTGACCCCGAGTGAGCACTGGGTGAGCTCTTGGTGGCCCCTGGGTGACCACCCTGAGCCCTGGGTGGCATCTCCGTGCCCTCTGGGTAGCCTTCCTGACCCCCGAGTGACCCCTAAGTGATCTCCCAGAGCTCTAAGTGACCCCGAGTGAGCACTGGGTGAGCTCTTGGTGGCCCCTGGGTGACCACCCTGAGCCCTGGGTGGCATCTCCGTCACCCCTGGGTAGCCTTCCTGACCCCTGAGTGACCCCTAAGTGATCTCCCAGAGCTCTAAGTGACCCCGAGTGAGCACTGGGTGAGCTCTTGGTGGCCCCTGGGTGACCACCCTGAGCCCTGGGTGGCATCTCCGTCACCCCTGGGTAGCCTTCCTGACCCCTGAGTGACCCCTAAGTGATCTCCCAGAGCCCTAAGTGGCCCTGAGTGACCTCTCAGTGACTCCTGACTGACCTCTAAGTGACCTCCCTGATCCCTAGGTGACCTCAGTGACCACTGTGTGACCTCCCTGACCCCTAGGGTGTATCGAGGACAGATTTTGCAGGTTTGGGCACAAATGGCTCTATTTCTGCCCCAGTGTGTGCCCCACTTCTGAGCTGCTGCTGGTCCTTTCCCAGTTCTACAAAACACAGATGTTCCTGTAGTAATGATTTTCCAGAGGTTTTTGTGCCGTGTGTATGGGACATGTAAGATCCTTTTGTGATACTCCATGTGATCTTGGGCTTTCAGTGCATAGCCTGGTCTAAAATAGCACTGCTGTTCCTGCAAGTCACTGGAATCGTTAGCAATTGAGGCTCAGTGCATGAATTTTATCTTGCAAACTCACTCTGGGCTCACAGTCAGAGCCTCCATGCACTGCAGGGAAACAGTGAGACAGGATGGCTTAGGAAGACTTACTGAATCTGTCATTGACCAACACCTGATCAAGGTTTCCATGTGGATGGAATTGAAAACAATAATAATTCATGTGTTAAATTCAGTGTCTCGAGTGGCTCGCTGCGGTGTGACTTTTCTGATGCCTTAGTTGTTCCTGCAGTTCTAAACTTAAGAAGCATCAGCACATTTCAGTATTTGCTGGTTTTATATTTGATTGCTGTGAAAAAAGTTATTTACCACCTCCCTTCTCAGCAGCTGTGAAATATGAGAAATAGAACTAGTGTTTGCATCATTACCTCTGTTAAATTCTTCAGAGTATTTGTATCTGGGCTGCCCCAGAGTGTCAGTCTTTCAGAGCGGTTTTAGCATGAAACATTTCTGTTTTCGGAGAAGTCTTTGTCTTTTTAAAGTTGACTTTTGCTGGGGCTTGAATCCACTCACTGATGTCTTCAGAAAGATCCTTATCCCAGTGCTTCCTGGCTAGGATGTATCACATGCATTTTGTCCTAGTTTTGTGTGTGTGTGAGGGCTTTTTCTTTCCTATATATTTGTGCCATTTTATTACTCCTTTTCTCTTCACTTGCTTTGTCTTTGGTCCTTGGATTACTGAGAAGATTTAACATGATGGGATGAGAATGGTCAGATTTCAGACGTCGAAAACTAATGAGTCGGTGGCTAGATTTATAGGAGGAGCTGTGCACTTGGCATTGTTTGCTCAGAGGTCAGAACAACTTAGCCTTTGGCAACACATGTAGAGCAAAACTAGCATAGAAATGCGATGCACATTCATATGGACCGAGCATGTGTTTTGGCACCAAAATATTGTTAAGTCCCTGTGTTAGATGCAGATGGCATTGCTGCACAGGGGAGCATTAGTTACTGGTTTGGGATAAGGAGCACATGGAAAGAAGTGTCTGTGCACGTATAGCTGAAACGGAAATAATGGAGAGAGAGATATGTCCTATGAAAGTGAGCACATACAGGGGAAGAATGAACCCACATCTGTTGGCTTAGTTATTTTTGTTTATGTCTTTAAGTGAAGTAGTACAGAAACTTATGTATGGGAAGTAGCTGGGGCTGGTGTAAGATGGAAGGAACCAAGGTATTCATGTTTCTTGTGTGCTGAGTGTGTTTCTAATACTTTGTTTTCCTGACAAACAGTTGCAGAAATTGCTCTTAGCAGAGTGTGTGTGTCGTGGTGTGTTTTCTTTAACTAGGCACTGTGATTTTTACTTCCTTTCTTAAAAAAAACCCTAGAATGACACCTTGTTAGCGTCACTGTAACCCATCTGGGGTCCTTGCTAAACAATGTCCCTTACAAATAGCAGTTGTGTTGAATTCATTCAGTTCAAAGCATCAAAACCTCTTGACCTCCAAGGACGCCAAGGGTGTTTGCAGGGGGAAAACCTTCTCCTCCTCAGGCTTAGTTCCTAGTAAATAAGATCAACCAATCCCTTGGTGATGTTTGAGTAGAAACTGGTTAATGAGGAGTGTGGCTTTTCTCACAGTGCCACACAGTTGTGCTCATGAGGAGAGCAGTGAACTTGTCCACTAGTGACTTTGTGTGTGTCTTGGCAGCTCAGCTTCTGGGAAGCTGGTGTGATTTTACTGCATTTTACAATTTGAGCAAGTTGATCAAAGCATCTGGCAGTGCTTAACACTGTAGATCGCACGCTTAGACGTGTCTGGTTGGGGAAACTTTAGACCTAAATGCTGTGTGCCTTTTTTTTTCTTTGTAGGGATGAAGCGACTGTTATCTCAGGGACAAACCTTGCTAACCAGGTGTTGAAAGAAGTTCAGAGGGATGTAGAATCCTGGATATCCACTGGAAACAAGAGACCTCACCTCACTGTCATATTAGTTGGAGACAATCCAGCTAGCCATATCTATGTCAGGAACAAGATAAAAGCAGCTGCAGCTGTAGGTATGTCATGCAAAGGATCCTTTGGTGAGCACCAGATACTGTTATTTAAAAATAAAGAGCAGGAGGAATCCCCTTTGGCTCTTTCTTTCATTTTGCACATTTTCTTCCTTGTCTTCTCTGATGAACCTAAAGAAAAGCAGTCGTATGGACATATGAAGAAAGTACTTTAAATGTCAAATGGGAGCCATAAGTTTAATTCTGTATCTTAAAATGTTGTTGGGAAGCAGCTGTTAAGCATCAGACAAGTCTAAGCTTTTAGACTAAATGACTAAACTGCCCATGGATAACTTTTCTGCCTCTAACATGTCTTCTGTTTCTGTTTTTTTATCAGGCATTTCTAGTGAGATCATACTGAGGCCTAAAGACATTTCTCAGGAAGAGCTCTTGGATATGACAGAAAAACTCAACAAGGATTCAAGAGTTAGTGGGTTACTAGTTCAGCTACCTCTCCCAGGTGGGTGACATCGTTTGTCCCACTCATGTTCAGTCCATGTAAGAGGCAAGAGCTTGGCAGTTTGGGGCTGCAAATGTACCTGGGGGACATGAGAAGCTCTTGAAAGAGGACATGCAAAGTGAAGGATTAGCTGAGATGTTACATTTTGTGCTGTATACTAACCTGCAGTTCAGTTTGAACAAAAAAAGGGAAATTAAATTGTAAGAAGAATTTCATGTGTCAAACTTGCCTTGTTTTTAAGATCAGAGTGGGGTTTCAAGGCACACGTAATGTATCCAGTTTCCTTGTCTTGATTTTTTTTATACATGTTGCACTGTTCTGCCTTGAAGTTCAGGACCTTTGCCATATTTTCATCCCCTATGTTGTGCCAACTTATGCTTTCTAGCAGGTGATGCTACATACTGATTCCAGGTTTTGCCTTAAACATTTGCTCATGTTTTCCATGCTGTCCCTAGTGTTGCAGGTGAGCTTTGTGCAAAGGTCCTAAAAGCCTTGACTATATTCTTGGTTGTTTTATTTTCCTTCTCCTAATTTGTAATGAAATCTCACTACAATATCCCTGTGGAGTAGCTGGCAAAGTACCATTGTGGCAGTGATAAAACTTGCAAAAGGAAAAAAAACTAAACTAAAACTGTTTTGTGCCTATGAAAGAGCAGAACAGGGGCAGGTGCTGAGAGTTATAGACACAGAGATGAGATGCTCTGTTTGTGTTTGTAGTGAAGAGCAGAGCTCATGGTGGGGAGGGTTTGGACCTGGTATGACACGAAAGCTGCTGAAATCAGCCACGTGTTGGAATCAATTTGCCACAAGGTGGAAGTATAGCACTGCTGCTTGCCTGGGGAAAAACCTTGGAGTAATTCAGTCAGTAGCAGAACTTTGTATAGTAGAGTGAAGTGTGCAAGTTGAAGTGTTCGGGAAGTTCTGTCCATAATAAATGTCAGATGTAACTCTGATTATTGGATTATTTTTTCCACCAAAGGAGCATTTTCCAAAATTCTTTTGATTTGCCTTGTAATGGAAGGAGACAAAGCCTAGAAGTTGGGAAAACCATCAGTGGAAGCTGTTTACTCCAACTGTTGAGGTTGCTGTGTAGGGTTTGGGTTTTTTTGCAGAGAACCACACAAGGTGTGGCTTTGGATCAACATCAGGATAAAAATAGAAGCAGAAATAGCTTTGTTCTCTTTTACTTTTGTGAGCTGGAGCAGCTTAACTTTGAGGATTGTCATCTTTGCCTGAGGAAAACTTCCTTTCTGTGCACCTCCTGAGTGCATTACTTGTGAGATGGTGATGGTTTTCTGGACACCTTCCCTTACCTTAGTGGGAGTTGCCTGGGAGATGGCTGGGAAATGTTACTTATTTGAGACAGAAGACGAAAATCCATGTGGTATTTTTTCAAACCCCTTTTGCGCTATGTTTTTATTTTTTTCAGTCTTCCCTTTTGAAAACCAGTGTTTGTTTTCTGTGTGTCAGCACTGGAGGTAGATGTTGTTTGGTGTGTATGTAGGAGTTTCCCTGGGTGCAGGTCGGAGTGGCTCAGCAAGTGATGCTCTATGTAGTCCTGCAAGTTCAGCTGAGTGCAGAGAGGAGCTCAGGCTGGAGAGTGTCTTGGAATGGCAGCAAGGAAACTTGTATGGATATCAGTTAGTGTTTTACGAGGCCGACAGTAAGATAATTAAGACGTTATTCTGTTCCTCTTGAAATAAAGGAGTCGCGTGGAAGCAAACCAGGAAAATGCATTTCTTGAGGCAAACAGCATCTACTTATTAAGTACATAGTAACTGTCTATACAGTTTGAATTAAGCTGGTTGGTTTGATTGTTTGGGGATGACCTGCCCAAGATAGTGTTTGGGAAGAGTCCCTGATGAGGAAGGAAGGTGTCCACATCATCCCTTCTTAAACCCAAGTCAGCCCCCTTGTCCCCAGCTATGCAGCTGCACTTCCTCCCAGCACTGTGCGCCCTTATCTGAAGTTCTGCAGATCAGTTTGGAGTGAGGAAAATATCCATGTAAAGCATGATTTCTTTCCCTTTTTCCATGGTTGTAGCTACCACCTGTCTGTTTCTGGAAAGCTAAGGTGACAGGGACGAGGAGGTGTTTGCCAGAGCAGTGTTCTGCCCCATCCCAGGCACAAGGAAAAGCTTGGCTGCCAGGTTTGTGTTGGATGAACAACTGACTTGCCTAAGGTTAACAAGTTCTCTTTTGCAAAAACCCTTTAATGGGTTACTCCAAATTTCTTTCTTCTTTGTTTTTTTTAATACCCTAAGTTGACATAAAAACAAGGTTATGTTTCCTTTCAGTCTCTCAGGCAAGTTTCACTTCCAAGAGACTCTTTCATTAGTGTACTTAATACCTTGATTTCCACAGGCCTTTCTCATTAGGATTCAGAAAGAAACTTCCTCTCTTCAGAAAATGGAGAGTTAAATTGTAAATCATAACAGTCTGGTTTAACTCTAAAGTGTTTTTAATTGAGCTTGTTTTGAGCTCATCAGCATCAAAGAGTGTTATGTATTCCCAGTTTTCCAATGAATTTGGTTCTACTGATTAACAAGTGACTGAAGATAGTTGTATTGTTGGAAAATGGAAGCTAGACCTGCAAAGCTATTTCAGCTTAGTATTTCCATGTATTTGCGTAAGATTTAGGTCGTGTATCCTGTGTGGTCTTAGAAACAGGTAACATGCACAGTGACTTGTCTCCTGTGGTTTGTCGGATTTTTGGGCCACTTCATATCTGACACTTAAATGACTCTGAAGTGACTTGCTTAAACATTTCTGTTTGTAGTTAGTCATGGTTCTCAGCTGGGTATTGGCCTGTCCTGCTTTGACAGGATCTGCAGTACTAGCGAATCGTTTGATTTTCAGTAGCAGCCTTGCAAAGGGGAAGGTGTAACTGCTGCCCTTAGAGGAGGATGCAGCAGCTCGTGTGTTTCTCTGTGCAGTGGGTCAGATAGTAGTGGTGGCACTGACCAGGGAAGGGACTGTGACCTGGAAGCACTGTGTTCCTAGATCACATAGATGAGCGGACGGTGTGTAACGCCATCGCCCCCGAGAAGGATGTGGATGGATTCCACCTGGTGAACATCGGCCGCCTGTGCCTCGATCAGCCTTCCATAATCCCTGCCACTGCCGCTGCCGTGTGGGAGATCATCCGACGCACAGGTAGGAAGCTCAGCCCCACTGAAACTCTACTTATCTTGGGAGATGAACACAGGATTAAGTCAGGTCTGAGTTAAAAGGGGTAGGTTATCTAAGTGTATTGGGCTGATTGAAGAACAAACACTTGGAGGATTAATCTGAATAAGGAGGAGGTGCCCAGGAGATGAGATCTTGTGCCAGTAGCATAGCTATTAATTAAGTCTACACAAGGGTGCCTGGTGGAACACTTAGGAGCTTTCTGCATTTTGTAGTGTTGCAGGGAGCTTTCTGTGCTGTTGCTGACTTCTTGATTCTTTGTCTAATAGAAGATTGAAATGTATGAGAAGGGAAAGAAACAAGAACAAAAACGGGAATGCTTAATTACTGGAAGTACTGGAAGAGGAGAATAATGCCCATGTGTTCAATAGTTGTCATTTTATACTGGCATTGTGCGTGTTCTTGCTGGTAGGCGTAAGAGCTTCCATTTCCCTTTGTGGCTGGAGAAGACAAATTAAGGCCCTGCTAAGGGTGATTCAGATAACCTGAATGAGTTTCCAGTTGTCTTTCTCCAAGGTGAAAGCTGAAAGTTGTTTTGTGAATTCATTCCTCAGATTCAGCCTTGTGGATTTTCAAGTCATGTTGATGTCAGAAATCCACCGCAAATAGTTCTGTCTTGGGCATTAAGGGAAAGGGTTTAGATATATCCAAACAGTGGAATATAATAGTTTTCTTATTTTCATCCTACAAGGAATACAAACATTTGGAAAAAATGTCGTTGTAGCTGGAAGATCTAAGAATGTGGGAATGCCTATTTCCATGCTTTTACATACTGATGGAGAGCATGAAAGGCCTGGAGGTAAGTCTAGGAATGTAATTTTAATGGTTCCATTTGTGAAATCGTTAAAATCACTAAGATAAAGCTGAGTAGAGGATCTGGATAGAAGAGAAAGCCTTTGACTCTTATACAATATTCACAGCCAAGGAAATAAAGCAGGAATCTGCTAGGAAATAAGTTTGCTAACATACTTCCTCTGTATTCTCAGGAGAGCAGTTTGTGGGCTTAACTTTCACTGGTTCATCATTTTCTCTTCCTTTTGAAGCAGGTCCTGTTTCAACACAGTCAGCACTGAGCACTGAGGGTAATACTGGCAACATGGCCTGAAAGAGCTACAGAGGTTCATGGGATGTAGCTATGTGCCTTTTCCTCATGCTTATTTAGCATTAATTTCATTTTTCATGCACACATGAGCACCTACACACAGGTACACTCTTATATCTATCTATGTATCTATCAGAAGTATGACATGGTTCCTGTGTTGTGCTGTCACAGGTGGTGGCTATAAAAATACCCAAATGACCAACCAGGTAACTCTTCAGCATGAGCTCTATGATACTCCATGTTGGCCTAGGGGATTTTTCTGCAGTACAACTGGAAACTGTAGTAGAAATGTTTGTAAGAAATTCTAATTGCAGAGCCCACATGTGCTGCTGTAATTGTGCTGCAGAAAGAAAATGTAATTTAGGCAGAATGATGCCCTTTTGCAGCTCCATTTCGATGTTCGAAACTGCCACGGCAGGGTGCACAAGTGAGGTAAACACGAACGTTTAATCCCAGTCAGATTTAATGGGAGCTGAGTGAAATCTGTTATTAATATAATAAAACACTAAAAGCTTTGTGCTAATCACAGAGTTGGTTGTTCCATTCAGTCTCTGTGGGAAAGTTCCTATTTCAAACTTCTCTCAGTGTTTGGATTGTAATTACTGTTGGTGCATAGTTCTGGTCTCATCCTCATTCCCACGAAAATGAGGAGCATTTTTGCCCTTTGCTGCAAACAATGGGTTACACATGTTCCTGGCAGTGCAGGTGGTGTTTGAAGTAGGCTTGGTACAACACAAAGCTATGTTGCAAACTACTTACACGTTTCCCAGTAGGAAATGAGAAGATCTAGTGACCTGAGAGGCTTTCAGCAGCTTGTTACAAAACACACAGTAGGATTTTAGCTGGAACTAAAAATACTGTCTCAGCTTCTGAGTTGATTGAATCCATGGCTCAGTTTTTTTTTCTTGTCTCCTGGGTCTGTAGTTCTTAGTTGGCTGCTTGGTAGTAGAGCTTGGTTTGAGGGGCTGGTGTGTGAGTTTGTTGGCCAGTGAGTGAATCTCGTTGTACTTCATAGTCATCTGCCAGTGCTGTGGTTCCTGACAGGTTACACGCCCTGTCAGTGATGCTCTGTCTTGTATTCAGAGCAGGGGCAGAAAAATATTTGTATATTCCCTTACTGACAATGACACTGGAACGCAGATACAGCAGGAGTTAACTCATTGGTGTTATCTTTGCTTAATCTGAAGAAATGGATTCATTTTTCAGGTAGTTTCTCTTATTTTCCAGTCTGCTAAGTGGTGGTACACCATATAAAGAGCTGGCAGTAAGAAAACAAAGGAGCATTTGTACTTCTTTGACAATAAACTATCATTAAGTGTGTGTATGTTGTATACATGATGATAATTACTTTTGTATTTGAGGTAATCTCGTGGAGTTTTATTTTCTGACTCACAGATGGAGCTGCACTTGAAGGTCTGTGTCATCTGCTGCAGTTGGTTTTCATTTCTGCCTCTGCTGTGAGCAGCACGAGGGTGGCCTGGCTGGCCTGTGGAAGGGAAGGCAGGACAAGCCCTGGCTGAGCTTTTCATTTTCATTCAGGACGTTGCGGGTCAGGAAAAACATACAATGAGGTCCTGGAAAAGATACTATTTTTTTTTCTTCGTTTTTGTTGTAGGTTTTGGCTGTTGTTTTTTTGACAGATCATGAGCAAAACTGAGCAGCTAGGGCCTGCCATAGTTTGGGGTGTTCTGTATGTCGGAACGGTTGTGTCCTGCAGGTGGCAACACCTGATCAGATGGCAAAGCTCTCTGAACCCCTCCAAACCAGCTCGTGTCCTCTGTAGACAGAACAAGGGACTGCCTCTGTTCTATAAGCCAGGACATTGACTTGGGAGTATGATCCAGGATCCTAATTGCTAAATATATTCCTCTTCTTTCAGCAGAAGCAGGAGTCTAAAAATAGTTGTTTATTTTCTGTTTTGGCATGATGACAAATAAAGGGAAACCCTCCCTTTCTGAGGTGTCTGTAAGGCTCTGGACCGCTGTTCCGAAGGTAGGGGCTATTTTTGGTTACATTTCCCTTTTTTTCCTCCTTTCCTTTTTGGCAGTGAGGGCAATTACTTGGTTTCAGGAGCCAACTACAGGCACATTCCTCACTGAGGTCTTAATGGGAAATTAGCACTGATTTTATTACTCTGAAGGTGTGACTGTTTATAACTTCGGATTTTATCCATTGCTTTTTCTCAGCTGCCCTGCTGAGTATTGATTATGCTTTGGGGCGAGACTTCGGCTTAAAACAGGTGTCAGAAGACTCCTGTATTTTCTTAAAGCCTGGACTCTTCTGTTCTCTTTATCTGACAATGTCATGATTGGCTTCTCTTTGAGGAGACAATGTGCACTGTAGAGCCTGAAGAAGAGGGATCAGAGACGAGGGGAAAGAGCAGAGAAGTCAGAGCACAGACAGAAGAAGAGATGCTTGAGGAAGGGAGTTACGAGATGAGAGACGCAGGTTAGGTCAGTGACCGTATTCCAGAGGAAGCAGATGTGGTGGTAACATCTGAGGTGGCAAAAACCTTTAGTTCAGTGGTTAATAATGTGTCTTAGGAGTCTGTGATGAGTGGAAGGCAGAGATGGGGGGATGTAGCTCGTGAATACTGTGCAGTACAAGTGGTTGACAGAGAGAGGGTTGGGAGGAGCTTCCTTTGATAGCTTTCATCTTTACTGTCCTCGAGGGATCAGCACACTTGCTGTTGGTTGCAGTGGGAGACTTCAGACCCTCTCCCCATGACAGTTTGTTTTGAGTGTTTTGTGGTCTCCCTCAGTATCTCCATCAAACAGCACAAGGTTTTTCATGTCTTACTGGGAGGGTTTATTTGTAGCTCTTGCCAAGAGATGTGGGTGCGTGCAGGAGCAGGCCCCAGATGTTTTGAGTTTGGCCAAAATGATGTGTGTTTCTTGTGCTTCTACTTGTGATCTTGGGTTTGAAGCTTTAGCTCATGACAAACAACTGAGTCTTATGGCACCCTGTAGAAGCAGACACTGGATTCCATGCTGTCTTGCTTCGTGCAATTCTACTAAACAAAGCTGAGGAAGGCGTAGTTTAGTCCACAGTGTACAAATGAATTCAGCCTGCAAGAATTTTTAAGAGTAAGTTTTTTCATGTGTTTGAACAGCAAATGTTGTGTGTTCTGTCTATGCTGATCTAATGTCACATCCCAAGAGAAATCCGATCCCCATCTGTACTGTTGTTAATATGCCAAAGTAAGTAATTTGCACCTGCATTTTATAGCATTTTAGATGTGACAATTAACTGCTAATCTCTTCCATGTCAGGTGATGCCACAGTGACCATCACTCACAGATACACCCCAAAAGAGCAGCTCAAGATCCATACGCAGCTTGCTGACATAGTAATAGTGGCTGCTGGTAAGAGCAGTTGTTGTTAATCTTCCAACAGCAGCATTTAAAGCTTAAAAAGTAGACTTTGGGGGGTGTGTCAGTGGCAGCAGCTGTTTCATGCTCCACTGAATAATTGGTGCTCGTGCCTGCTGAGGGTGTTGCAGTGGGTAGGATTTCTGGATGTAGGAAGGGCAAGTGATTTGGCTCTTTGTTCTTGCCCTTCACATTTGCAGACTCATAAACTGTTTCTCGTCACATGTGACACCTTTCCCTTAGGGAGACTTTAGGGTGAACTCAAGATTGGGAACCAGTCAGTGCATAGTTTATACAGGTATAATTATGTAAATTAAAACATTCTCCGTGCCGGGCAAAAATCGTGAGTCATTTACATTTTGACAGGAGGGTTTCTTTGAATCAGCTGCAGGCTGCATGTCAGAGAGCCATGGGACCATTCCACTGCTGCTAGAATTAAGACAGCCCTGCCAAATTAGCTGCCAGTGTTGGTAACCTGCATTACTGACGGCCGATTTTATTCTCTGTTACAATTATCATGTGAAGAGGAAGAGAATGGCCATTGCCTAGAGGAAGGGGTCTGAAAGGTCAATGTCTGCACTCTTAAAGCCGTGTAGAGTGAAGTACTTAAGGGTTTGATTCATCTGGCCCAAAGGAACAGGCAAAACTCTACTTCTAAGCAACCTCTGGGTTTTTTCCAGGTATTATAAATAGAGCTATAAATTGATTTTAAAAACCCAAACAATCCAACTTAGTACAACCCTGGTAAAACTCTGTCCCCCCTTGCAGCTCAGGATATCATCCTTCTCTTGTACCATTTTGGAGGACTACAAGAGGATTGTGTCTTTCCTTTTTTCTGCTCCCTTTCTCCTTCTTCATCATCCTCAAGACCAAAGTCTTGCTTACTTATTTCCTGTGTGAAGACAGACAGGGAACGGTCTAAAGCTCATCACTTCCTCTTGAATGGAGATGCCATTTGCTTCAGGGTTTAACTTCACTGTCTCTTTCCTGAGGCAGCTCAGGAGCAGCAAACAGCTCATTTGTCCCATATCTAATGACTCAGCTGTGGGCCTGACCGGAATTCACCACTGTGAATGAAAGATAGCAATGTATGTGCTAACTGGAAGTAAAGCTGTAACTTTCCATCCAAATTCACTGCTTCAAATTCAACCATCACTTCTGATTCTCACACTGAACATGGTTTGTCATCATTTGTGCTTGGAGTTGAG